ACCGATAGTACAAGAACTTTGTCTTCTATCGTGAACGCCTATCATAAGCTTTCTCTAACTCTTCTTGGTGAAGAGCTTTCCTTGGTGTAACGATAATGTTGCAATAAAGATAAAGATTGTAAAGGTATTTTATATTCGTTAAAGTAATAATAGGAAAAGTACTTACAACAAAGCATGAAGAACCTATCCTCCTTGGCCGCATCGGCCTCCTTATATAGTGTTCTTCACACTCATAGTCATGTGACCTAAAGTGGTCACATGCGCGAAACCAAATCATAACAAACTAATCATATGACCAAAGTGGTCACATGCTCAAAACCCATGACCTCATAATGAGGTCATATACTAAAAACTCATAAACCAATCATAACACAATAAACAAATCATATGACTCGAATAAGTCATATGTGCGAAACCCATGAACTCATAACAAGGTCATGTGCGAAAAATAAATCATATGTGCAAGGTATACCCGCAAGGCACACTCACAAGGTATACTTGCCAGGCACATGTCCCATGACTCATATTTGAGCCATGTGCGAAAGCATCACAAATCTCAAACATAACAAATCATGTGACTTGAATGAGTCATATGTGTGAAACCATAACATACCTGTGACTCATAACCATACATCACGTGAAAACCTTTTCCCTGCCAAGCCACATTCGTGACACTAATCCTATACATCAGTCCTCAGACTAGCATGATCCAAGCAGCCTATTACACTATACTACCATTGGCAAATTTAAAAACTCTCATCAGGGGGTAAAACATTTAAGGTCAAAGCTATCCCCACTGAGTTGAGGAGGAGACACCTGTCTGAACCACTATAAATGCTATTTGAATTAAGATCAAGGAAACAGTAATAAATAAAAATATAGGATTCTTATCTTAGAAGCGTAAAGTAATGAGGAGGGGCATGGTAGGTACTACCCTTATCACCTGATGAATAATGCAATCAGTACACTGTGTTGAAGGTACTGAATAGTCATAAAGTAATCCCATATGTATTTTGTATCACAAGAACTATGAACTCTGTTAAAACCCAAGAAACATGAGCTGACCCTAAGAACAAGATGTATAATTCCTCCAAATACAACCAGACTTCTCTTACGATTGAATGTAAAACCTGCAAGTAGACAATAAACAGGAAGCAGAAAATAGTATACTGAAAGAGGACTGTAAGTGGCCGTGTTGAATGGCTGAAAGTGCCAGTGACATGAGATCTCACACAAACGACAGGAGGTGAAAACATAGGCAACTCAACTTCTGACTACACAACAATACCCAACATTAGGATACTGAGCTGATCTAGATATCTGTTCAACATTGTGAACTATTGTGAGCTGATAGAGGTGGCAGCATGCTAAAGGAAAAATGTGGAAAAGAATTTAGGAAATTGTACAAGGAGTCTATTCATGAGGTCTTTTTTTAATTTTTATTTTTTATAATCTTGTATTTATTATTAAGATACAAGAACTTACATGCAACTTATTGCTATAGTGTAAACAAAACCATATCCTTTCTATAACAAGAGAAGAACTGTACTTCCAAATCTCTCAGGAATGGTCTCAACCATACACATTCCAAGGACAATCAACTCAGGTACCTGGTCCATAGCCTTCATGACTTGAACTTGATAGGGCCTCATATAGAAGCCAACCATATGTCTAAGAAAATTCCTTATCTGAAAGAAACCTCTTCCACTGACTACACATAGCCATCAGAAAGGAAACCAAATAAGTTAGGCAGAAAAGTATAAGGAAAAAACTCTACCTGTAAACTACAGAAAACTATAAAAAAAAGTAAACTATAGCCCACTATCACCAAAATGCCTAACATATAACTACCTTCAAAGTAGGTGGCTGGCAAAAGACTCAAAGGCCAACACCCTCAACCAGCTGGGCTAAGGAAGTAGTGCAATACTGCAATCCACTAGTTGAGAACAAGAGGGTCACAATGTAGAATCCAAGGAGTGCATATCTGGCAAAGGGGATGCTGTCCAGCAGCAGGATGCCAGCCAGAGAGTGACGGTAGGCAAGTAGCAGGCCGAAACCCTTCATGAGAAGTAGTAGCTGGTCTGAGTAATTATTTGTTTATCACTATTGAGGATTTTGTGTCTACCTCCAAATAGTTCGTCATAGTACACCAGTTCCATGTTCCACTTCATGCTTAGTGACTCCAGAATACAAGAGTGTGAGAACCTGACTGCAAACAAGTGTAGTCCATTCACTGGCAGGGCATGTTTTGGTCAGTGTGGTTGGAGGCTCAGTCATGTTAATTTTGATATGCTAGTGTGATCCTTAGCATTTGTGTTTGAGTCCCACGAATTTTGATGCCAAGCTCGTACACTGCGGTACAGCGTAGCATGCACAGGTCTACTCAGATCCGCAAACCCTCACCTAATGACACCTATTTTCTTGCGATATAATTCAAACAATTACTCGTCAAGCAAACAAGCATTCGCATACCCGCCTCCCAGAGAACTCAATGGCATCCAATACTATACCATATAATGCAACCCTTCCCCATCCAGCCACCCATACACCCAGCCAGCCAGTCAGATATCAGATACCACACATCATCACACCCCTTCCACCCATCCACCCATCCCTACATACAAACAAACAAACAAACAAACAGGCAGACCAACGAGACAACCCACGAATAGACAGTACCAGCAACACAGCACAGCTCTAGACCGCCTGCCAGCGTGGATGCGTGCACGCATCATAACATGCCGGCACCAACGCCGCGCCCGGTCACGAAGGCAAAAGATCTAAACGGGCGAGTGGAGCCTGGCGCGGGCAGTGGATGACTCGAGCAGAAGGTCCAAGCTGGCGTGCAGTGTGGTGCATGATATGGCACTGGGTGTGTGGTACTGTACACTCCGGACCGTAACAAGTTCAGGGTCGGGCCAAGTGCCGGGCGTCTTATCATGTCGGTTTTTTTGGGATTGTCGGGGTGGATCGGATAGGATGGGTCGGGGTGTTGCGGATCTTATCTGATCTGATACATCTGATACGGCAGTGGGAGAAGAGGGGAATTGGAGGAGTTTGTGGGGTGTCGCGGGGTCTGGTTGTGTTACGGGAGATAGAGGTTCCTGAGTGTGGACAGCAGATTGGGCTGGTGGGGGAGATGGGAGTTGGAAAGTTCACAGTTGAGTACCGACATGTAATGTCTTGTGATACGAGTTGTTATTGTGTGGGCGGGTGTGATTTTTTTCTCCTGCCTACTGGGGAAGGGGTACAGTATCGTGCTGTAGGTGGGTTAATCGACCCTCGTAGGCATCGGGCGGGGGGGCCTTGGTTTATGTGGGGTAGGATACTGGTACACAAGACATCTACCCAGCGGGTGATGCAGCCAAGTCCCGGGGAGGTACTTCTGTCCCCGCGCCAAGAATGGGCACCTCGTTTGGAATACGGTAGCCTCCTCGAACCCATAAATAAAAGTGTTTGTGTTTGGGCAGCTCGAAATACTGTGTCAGTGACGCAAAACACCAGTACTAGTACCAGCATCCTGTAAGAGTGATCATATTAATATCATAAATAATTATGACAACAGCTCATATGAGAAACTAAATTTGTTCCTTTCTAGCTGCAAAATTCACTTAAATGAATGAAATTGAGCCATGTTGGAATCACTCCAGTATGATACCTGAAGGACTCCGTGAAGCAATATAAGTTCATTTGTAGCAGTGGGGCAAAGTAGCATGTAATGCTAGATAGATCCATTCAGTCTCAGGTTTGAAAAAATATTGCTATCAAGGTTCATAATATATATTACTCTCTTTATGGTATCATAGGTGGAGACGCGAATAATAGTTTAGATAGCGTATGATACCGCACTCCTTCCTATATACCGGTACACTACCCACGATACCATGCCATTAGCTTGCTATCCCCCCCCCCTTTTTGTTTATCAAATAACTTCTCCCAGGTCCCACCGTTACCTGCACACCGGTAGTCTATGGTTCCTACCGTAACATGCACGAGGAAATAATCTCCCCCTTCCTGTACCTACCTCTTCCTGTCATATGGATATCTGCAGATACGAGGTACAAATTTACTGCACAATACAGTGGCGGTTATGGGGTTTTTCGTTCGCCCACGATAACATTTAGATTATCGATGTAGTGGATCTAGAGTATGAGGTTTATGTCAGGTATGTGGTTACCTACAGTATATCGTACTTGAGCCGCCGAGTTGAACCAGGACACCCAAGGTGACAATTCCCACACAAAGTGTCCGGCTGTGCGAGCCTTGTATTCCCCTTAAGCGGTGAGTACTATCATGATAGGAGTTTTTATGTGCCTGTATGGGATTTTTATATGGTGGGAAGAATGGCGAGGTCCTTCTTAGTATGATTCTCGAGTAATTAAAGGGCAACGAGATAAGCAGACCTGAATAGCACTTTGCGAGGAATGCCGGATTTGGTTAGCAGTGTTCGAATCACTAAATCATGCACTGTCTTGGTGATTAATTGGGGTTATTATTATTATTACTATTATTATTTACTGCTCAGTTCGACGAAAGTGCTAGAGATATATATATTTATTGGTACAGTACTTGTACCTCGCCCATGCTGAATCGAACCCATTAAAACAACTCCAATTGATCGCCAAGATGGGCCATGTCCCGAATTATGAGCCACAGGGTATGGGATAGGTGGTTGATTTATCGCTTTGGCGTTTGTCTTAGCCCATGGGGAGATCAGGGTCCCAGCTTATCTACCTGATTCGATTGCTAGGATGAGCGGAGCTCTGGGGCAGCATCCTAGCCGGGCGAAGGGCTGTAAGTAATTCTCTCTAGAGATCACATGGAAAAGACTGGATTGCCGTTTTAGCACTATGATACTTTGCCTTAAAAGGAGACCATAATGCGAAGCGCTATCGGTAAAACTACCTACGATAGGGCTTTGGCTAAACCCTCCACCCCGGTATCCGCGGGGCCGGCGAGCAAGATCCGGAGGACTGGAGTGACTGCCCCCGATTCCCCGGTCAATCCTCGGTAGCCCACTCCGGCAGCTCGGTCTCATACCCCCATTGCCCATCCTCACACTCATACCTCTTAGCATGCAAGTAGATCCCCAATTCATGCAGTCCTGGGTCTGAAAACAGAGGAGTATCACAAACTTCGCATCGCTTTCCAGTCAGTTTCTCCGCCTTACGACCTTCGTAGTCCTCTCTTCATTCATCAATCCATTAGCATAAGAAGATGCAGGAGGGGGGGTCAGAAAGGAGAAGTAGTACATTATCTCTTCGTATCTAACCTCCTCCTCCCTACCGACCTTATTCAGCCTCTCAATGATCTCCTCATCCTCACCTTCACCGCCTTTTCCTAGCGCTGGCCCCCAAACGTTGCGGTTGCAGTATATCTACATCCTCATCAGTCACATTCCCCTAAGAATCTGTTTGAAATCGTGGGGGTATACCGGATCGTTAATTATCGGATGTCCCAAGAACTGCAGGTGAACCCTTATCTGATGCGTCCTACCAGTGAACGGATGACACTCCACAATGCTATAATTCTTCTCCGTATTATACTTTAACCTCTTAAACAGCGTCTTCGCAGTCTTCCCGCTTGCGCGGACTCTGTTTAAGCCCAACTTTGGGGATACCGAGAGGATGGGCTGGCTACAGGTAACCTCCCCCGCGGGGAATTTACCCTTGACACGGGCGAGGTATTGTTTCTTTATGGTGCGAGTTTGCAGCTGTCCCATGAAGTCGTTCGCAGCTTCCGGGGTTTTGGCCATGAACATTAGACCGCTGGTTAACCTGTCCAGGCGGTTGCATGCTTTTTCCCCATCGTTAGCACTATGGATAGAAGAATAGGAAAGTGGGGGGGGGGTGTGTACGAAGCGGAGCATGGCCGTTATAGTCATGCTTCATTATCTCAATTACCGTATTAAAATTATACCTCCCAGCAGGGTGAACCGGCACTCCAGCAGGTTTGTTAATAACAATCAATCGGTCGTCTTCGTACACCGTTTCAATTGGTTTCGCCGTCACAGGAGGCTCGTGTCTGTGGAGTGTATGTACAAGCATGTCCCCGTTCTCGAGCTTCGAGTCCACGCTCGCAATGATGGTTTGCATAGAGGCCAACTGCGCCCCGCCGCCATTCATCCCCTCATGAGTACCCTGCTTCACCTCACTGTTGTTCCTCCTCCCTTTAATGCCCGGCCCCGCCCCATTCTTATCCCTACGAATAATCCTTATAGAGCCTCTTTCTATTGCTGATTTCTAGGTTTAAGTTAGCTACCTAGCACACCAGCCAACGCTCATAGCGAAATGGGGGGGAATTGGAGGAAATGGACAAACATAGTACTCCAGCGGCCGGTCTCGAAACTCTGACCAAAACACCTCCAACACCCCTTTCCCCCTCCACCGCTCCTTACAGTAGGTATTATACGAAAACTGATATGGTGGCACCCTTCTCAACCCGTCCTCGAAAGAATACTGCGGCACCGGGGGCGGGTTCACAAACTTTGGTGGTTTGGGCGCAGTGTCCTTCTGCGCAACCATTGGCACCGATACCCTCCCTTTTGTCGACTGTCCTTCCCCCGCCTTCGAAGACGATGATGATGAGGCCGAGGACGGCCCCTTTTCTACTTCCTCTTGTGAGCCAAATACGATTGGGGATAGACCCGGAGATGATTTAAAAGGTAAGGTATCCATGGCGTACTTTCTCCGAGATATATTGACGAGTTCTCGAAGTGTTATGAGGAGGTTGATTTTTGGATGCATACAAGTGAGGGTACTTCTCGCCTTTTTCTTCTTCTTTCCCCCTTCTATGTATTATCGTGACATTGTGCTCGGGTGCAAATGCTTTACCGGTATGATACGCGTACCATAGTGGGGTAAGAACCCTTCTGTCGTCCCACCACATTTCAACGATAATAGTGGGAATTACCCGGCCTTGCTTGAGTTGATGCTCATCCCGGCAATAGCGAGTTAGACTAGTCTCGATGAGAGACGATCGTACCGTCCCGGTATGATGACCACTGGTACTCGCATAAGAGGACACTGTAACCTCGGCTTGCAGGGAGCAAGTAGACATTACCCATCCACCGAACACCAACAGCTCCCCTAAGTTCCAACCAAACACACCCAAACACACCCAAACCATTCCCGCAAACCGGCCAGACGCAAAGAAAGGCGAAAAGGAGGAATGTCATCGGTCAAATCGGTCAAATCGGTGAAATCACGAACAAGAAGCGATTACGGCTACTTCCTCACGTACCGAACGCGATGGAGCGATAACGACATCTACAACCATTTGAACAACGTCGTTTACAACATCCTGTAAGAAAACCCCCGACAGGACGGCACAAAACAAAGCAAAGCACTGACATAAAGAGGGGGGGACACTACAGCATCGACTCAGTAGTAAATTCATATCTAATAACTCACTGTGGCATGATGCCTACAACTAGTCCCTCCATTGGCCTGATGGTGTCCTCGAGCTGCACGTTTGTGTCGCCGTGTGCCTTCCCGGCAGTGCTGGAGTTGGGACTGCGGGTGAACAAGCTGGGCACTTCAAGCGTCACATACGAGGTTGGTATCTTCGAGGAAGGAGTTGAAGGGGTCAAGGCCGTGGGCGGGTTCACGCATGTGTTTTGCGACAGCGTTCATCGGAGGCCTATGAAATTGCTTAGACCTTATAGGGAGGGCTTGGAGAGCTTGCTGGTAAGGGCTGGCGGGGAGGAGGAGGGAGACGAGGAGGAGACAGTGAGGTATAGGAGTGCGAAGTTGTGATTGGATTGTAGGTTGGATTTGCGAGGGTTCTAGAAGTTGGGAGTCACTGGTGTGAGAGGTGTGCTGTTGTATTGGAAAGGAGGGGTGATTGTGTTGGGCGTTTTGTATGTGTACGCTGAGTACTATTCCCAAGTTCATATTTACAGTCTATCAAGCACGACATTCGGAACAACCATATAATATGACTTATACCCACTCTCAACATTACCCAAACGCTACCTACCATGAACAAATGGAATTTCGGCAAAGAGCATTTACACCTGAAAATTTAAAGAAAACTAACAAACGCCGCTTAGGCCAAGTATCTATTTGAAGAAAAGGAGAAGAAAAAGACAATTAAACGATGATAGCCCTTTATAAGTTTTGTGATGTGATGTGCGCCCCCATTGGAAAAGAACAAACGCCGTGGCTAGACAAAGGAGAGAAAATGTAATCCGGTGCCTTAAAAATTTACAGCGAACCAAAAACCTTTTTCCCTAGCAGTAACCTGCTCTTTTTTTTTATACTGCGGGAACAGGTTAGCCCTGTACCCGTATTAAATTTGAGGGGATGGGGTATTCACCTCTCCTCAGATTCATCCGCAATCCCATTTTGTGCCCTTGCAACTACGCCTAGGTTAGAGAGATGACGGCCTAATGTATTGTGAAAAATCCCATGACCCTATATACAATCAGCATTGGGAGCCACAAGCACACAAGTTAAATGTCCTTACTCTCTCGCCGGCCTCCTCCTCGGCCCGGTCTAATGGCGAGGGTGGGAAGCTCATGCTGGTACTGGATGATGCCGAAGACGGCGACGTCATGGGCCGCATTACAGAGGGCGGTTTCAGGTGAAGCCCAGTGCTTGGTCTGGAAATTGGCATTGAGGCGTGAGTCGAAGAAGCATATTCTGACGGAGTATCGAACCCGGGATGGTCGCTGTCGGTGGTAACAAAACTTGGGTTGGTAGCAAGGGAACCGTTATTGGCCATCATCCTGAGAAGGTTGGGCTGGGTCTTGTTAGGGCGGTGATGTGTGAGTTTGTTCTGCAAGATCGCTCCGGTGTGGGATATAAGAGCACGGATGATATCCTTCTTCAACCTTATCGCCAGATCTAGGTTCGACCATGTCTTATTGCGATACTCCAGCATTGGCATGCGAAACACGAACTCGTGAACATCCTCGAAATTGTTGTCGCCGCGCCCCTAGGAAAATGATAGATGAGCCCTAGTACTTTAGTGGCCTCAAACGATACATACCTTGTAACTCAAGCAAAGCACCACACTTGGAATCTTGATATATGCCAAAGTCATAAAGTTAGAAGCTCTAGACATCATCTGCGAGAGCTCGTCCGACCTCTTCTCATTTCTACCGCTGTGGTTACTGGACCTATTGAAAATCTGTAGCTTTTTGTTTTTTTCGAGACCCATGATACTTGGTGCGGGGCCTTCTGTGGATTTCCTCGATTTCACCGATAGGGACTCGGCCGATGACTTGTGAGTTGGAGTGAGGGAAGGCATGAATGTTCCTCTGAACCCAGCATTTGAAGCTTTGAAGCTATTTGATCTCGGTTTCGAAGCCGAGGATGAGGAGCCGGGCCTATGATCGGCAGTGAGAGATAGGGTAGGTCTGAGCTTAATTTCTACCGGTGACACATCGCTTTTAGTTGAGGAACTATCATCCATATGGTGGCTGTCATGATCCTCGTCGGATTCATCTGTATCTGATCCGTCTGGGATCGGTTTTATCGAATGTACCAAAAACGGCGAAAACCCCCCATTCTCGAATGCCTGTGTGCCAACCCCCGGGAAGATGTATTCAAAAATTCTGTCTCCGATCTCACGCTCAAGTTGAATCTTTAGGGGGAAGAGGTTGACTTCGAAATGGTCCATAACCGGTATCCCGGCTATAGCTTCGAGCATATGCCAATAGACCCGGAGAATTTTCGTCTGCCGAACGTCGACAACTGTCCGCGACTGGTCAAAGAAGGGCGCGATCATCTCTGGGTAGACCGCATCAGGCAACAGGTTAAACCCTTCCATCATCTCAACCTCCACAGTATTAAAGTTTGACCCGTCTGCATTATCCATGCGCTTGTACCCAGCATTCTTCAATCGTATGTCCATGAGTGGATCTGCCTTATCACGCAGCATGTGCCACACTATTTCCGAAGCAGTCAGGTACCACCTTAAGATACCACTTGCCTGCGATGTCCTATCCTCATGCTTTCGTTGGGCTGTAGTAATTGCCTTCATCATGAAGAAAAGTTCTTCCTCGCAGCTCGCCAAGTCCTCATCGACTGCAACACGGCCTCGCCAGCCCTCGATATCGAGATTTTGTGAGTTAATCTGGAAATAAGTCTTAATTTCCTCTAGCTGATGGATGCGACTTTGCAGACGCTCGACCATTTCCGGCGCTCCCGTTAAATCGCTGAAATCGGAAGCGAGCATAATCTTCTCCAATTTCTCATTCCGTAGTTTTTCAAGTGGTTCCGCATATAGCAACAAGTCCAGAACAATGATATACATCGCAAAATACTGCGAGGAATCGCACGATGCCTCAACCCTCGGGAAGTCGACCCACACATGGTCTATGCGGCGCTCAACATCTAGTGGTCCACCTTTAGCGGAGAAGGTTTTCTCCTCACCACTAACTTGATCACTATATTTTAAACGAAGCGAATTGTACTTGTCATATCTCAGGGTAGCCGAAGTTCTCTCAACCACACGGGAAAACCCGACAGGGAAATTCTGGAAGTCGAACATGCTCTCAAGCGGGACCCATGGGGGCCATGAGGAGCCACCCGGGGCACCATACCTATTGGCAGAGTGCAACGACATGGATTGGGGTGCAAAGTCTTGGCGATGGGACACAAAGAATTGTGTATTTTCCAGATTGAGAGCGAAACGGCGCTGTACCAAACCGCTAACCTCATCGCCAACTCTATCACGATCCATAATTGATACAACTTTCAGCTGCATACCTTGCGCGACAACAAGAACTGCGGCGCCTTTGTTCTTCTCACTTTGCATCTGAATCTGAGGGGCAATAAGCCGGATATGATAGCTGTTCAACGGTAGATAATCATCAGCAACATCCCCTGTGAGGTCGTCTCTAGCATATGTCCTCGCCGGTGCGCCATTCTCCTCTGGATCGTTTGGCTTTTCATCGGCAACAACATATTTGTTATCGTCATCAAGAAGTTGCTGGATCCGGCTCTCGAGGGTCATGCTATCTGTGTCACTATTGAGGGTAGAAGTAGGGTTAGAAGTTGCGTATTCGCCGGTGGCTGATGTATTGTCCCGACCAGACTGCTTCTGTTCCTGTACTATATCGAGGATGAACTTTACAGCTCGACGAGACATATAATACACGAAACCGCGCCGTTGGCCAACCTGATGAATGTACTTCAAGATGATGTTTCGAAGTGAGTTGTTCCACTTGGCCTGCATGTTATGTACTATAAATCGATTATCAAAGTCGCTCACATAATCAAAAGGTGAAGAATCCACCCCAATGAGTTCTGAATCGGCATCCGATCCGTGGCGTTCATGGCTCGGATTTTTGCTCACACCAGGCTTATCGCCACCGTCGAGTTTACTGGACATCCTCCGCAGCATTGTCTGGAGGAAATCAAGCTTGTTGAAAAGGATCGAGCTTTGTTCGATGAGTTCGGAGGACTGTATGAAGCCTTAGTACTAAATAAGTCACTCTCGTTGTATGGAATATTACCTGCGCTTTTAGCTCTAGATCTTCAGGATTAAATTTAGTGTACTGAGCCAGATTATCTAAAGCCTCCTTGTTCCTATTCATCTGTTCATTGACCTTCTCGAGTCGAGCTTGAACAAGCCCGCATTGTATTTCTCGGGGGTCTATCTTGTTAGATGAACGTCTCGGGTAGGGATGGTGATATCTTGGCCTACCATTATTCTCGGACATAAGACAGTCATGAGTTGGCTCATCTCCAAAAGGGCTGCACGGATTCAGCACGCAACCTTTCAGGTCAGTGTGGTCCGTCTGTCGGAAGTACGTGAACCTCGGAGTGAAGGCAAGAGGCATGATCTTGGTCTTGGGTGTTTTGTTATTCGGCAGTACCCAGTCTAGTTCAATGAAGTCATCCATATCAATCCAAGAATAATCGCCGTCCGGAATGGTGAACTGCGACATATCACCTGAATATCTGATGGTCTCTGTTAAACCTAGTGGTGGGCCTTCTGCTGCTTGCTTCATTAGTTCATCGGGTGTCGCGCCTGCAATGAGTGCGGAAACAGCCCTGATATCCGCTGAGTGGAAGTCCAACTCGGCTTGATTGATCCTCATCGCAGTGCTCTGTTGATTGGGAAGTGTCTCTTCACGCCTCTGGTGAATGTCAACCATGAGACTATCTAGTTTAGCCTTGAGACCAGTCGCAACGACCACATCTTTCCCGGCCTCGCCCTTGTCGTTGTGCTTGTACATATGACTTATGAAGAGTGGTGATATGCAAAGCTTATATTTGATAGTCGCAAGATGCCGGCCAAACTTCTTATTAGATTTCTCGGGGCCGGGCCATAAAGGACCTTGGCGAATGGGCAGTGACATGACGCCAGAGAATAGGCCCCACCATGAGAAGAAGTGTGTGAAGAACCTAGGAGTAAGGTGAATCGTGTTGTAGCTTGTAGATGGCTTTGTATTCGCCGGGGACCAGTCCCTGTCGATTGGAGACAGGATAGCCAAGGAAAGGTGCAGGTGATGACTTCTGAACCCCCGAAATGCGTCATAAACCTGTCCCGGAGGAGCCTTCGCATAGGTGGGGTTTTTGAGGGTAACTTCGTAATGGGATTTAAATTCAAAAGATCGCGTTTTTCCTTCGCAGACACCCAGCTGACCTTCAGAGATCTCTTTTTCAAACATAAGCCCGACTAACCACCTCACTCGCCCCGAAAGTTTCATGATAACTTTTTTGAAAAGAGCTGCACTTTCACAACTGCTGAAGCTTAGAACGCTCTTGTTTTCAGCTGGGGTAGCGCTGTCAAACTCATCTTTGGCATTACGGGCAAAGTCTGGAATTGCCAAAAGAAATTCCTCGCTGTCGACTACCATAAACTTCCGGGGATCTTCATCCCTGCCAATTTCCCAATTCACATCCCCTCTCCAACACAGGACAAATCCTGCGCCAATGCCAGTGATCTGGTAAGGATCCCGGGAACCTTGAGACGTAAGCGTGATCCTAAAATCAAAGTGGTATAATATGAGCTTAGTAAATGGTTACCTTTGAGCGTTAAATGAACGTCGCCATCTCCCTTCCATTTCACACTTATCTGTGAATGTAAGACAAGACGTATTTTATCCCAAAACCCAGTTCTGTCCGAGGGGTCGAAGTGGGGTTTAGTGAAGGTCTCGAACACCATCATCATATCCTGAATTGCTGGTTGATAGGATGTGCACCAAGTGATCCTTGTCGCAAAGGAAGTACTAATAGCTACCGCAATTTCAGAATAAGACTTCACTGGAGAAACTGTTCGCCGTACATCAACAGCAAAGCCACCCTTCGAAGGGCCTGGGCCGCTGGTGGGCGGAACGATGTTCACCCTCACATGTCTCATGGACTCCGGGCCTCTGAGTTCTTCAGCCAAAACAAAGTCGGCTTTCAATGACCAGGCAGGCGATCTGTTGGCTTGAGACGGCCTCATTCGAGGTACATGGATCAGGGGTAAAGGGTAATCTCGCAGAAGAATGCGGCCCTCGCTAAAGTCAACCTTAACGCTTACCGGTACAAGAAGTGCGAACTCCGTCTTTTCTGGAAGACCTTTGCCGACTCGGTGCATGAATTTTGGAAGCTGTTCAAGAGGAAATGAGGGCTTATCAACGACAACCTCGACATCGTTAAAGTAGGCTGCCATAAGCGCAGGGCGCATCGGCAAACCGAGGATATTTTCTGTGTCCTCGCCATCATATGGGACGTCATCGTGGCCCCAGAATTGCTCTCTGGACTCCTTCATTCGGGTGCTGTGATATCCGTGCGCCCACCTCATACGCTTAATCCATGCAGCCGAGTTATGCTCCTGAAGACGCTCCCAGGCTTCCTCTACGGACACTGATGCATCATCAGAAGGTCCAGCAGCGCTTTCTGGGTCATATCGCATGTTTTTTGGCCCGCGGTGAGCTGACTTGGACCTCGTCTCTGGTGATTCAGCATGAACATGATGTGAACTACCACCCCATGTCTTAGTCCTCCCCCTAAACCTTGATGTAGATGTTTGTAGCGGATTCTCGGGCTTCAATCCAGTCCGCGTGGTCTCCGATGACTTCCTTCTTTCATTCTCCCCCATTTTTTTGACCTTTGCATCAAATGCAGCTTCACGGGCGAGTCGTTTCTTCTGCTCAGAAAGGCCCAGGCGATAAATTAAACCTAATTGAGTCTCAAATGGATCATCCTCGAGTTCAAGAAGCAAAGCTTTAGTATTTAGAGATAATCTCGGCAGCTTCTTTGCCGATTCCGCCTTCTTTTCCAGAATATATTCATTAGTTCCAGTCTTGAATCGATGGTGCATCTGCTGACAAGCCTTTGCGGTATTGATCACGTTGTCGGTCACCTTGTATAAAACCAATTGGTGGGGGATGGCTAATCGAACAGCATCGGCGAACAGATCAATAGACTTCTCTTCTTGAAGCTGGTCACCGTACCCATGTCCTCCTTCCTTCAGATCGGCGCGGAATTGCCTGATACTGATCATTCGAGCCCAGCAATTCATCACCTTCGGTGATTCGGCGTAAAGCCGGACGCTTTTCGCTTTGAGGAATGGGAATCCCCATCTCTGCCGTCCGGTATCCATCCCAAACACCTCCAACATCATAGGTGGGTCATCCGGCATGCTTGACTTGATACGCACGTGCTGGACCTTGAAGTCCACACTTACGTATTCGCGGAAATCGGAAATTGGGCTTTCCACAAGATCCATGTCACCCACCGCCCCAGGACGGAGCGTATCCACAGGCTTTATCTGAGAATATCCCGCCTCACCCCCGGTTGACGTTCCCCCGAATGCCTCAATGAGTACCTTAGCAGCAACAATGATTGTATAGTGTCGGTAGAGTGAGTAGTTGAGAGAGAGCAATTTAGAGTGGGAACTGATATGCAACACAGGACCTTCTAAATCGCCAGAAGTAGCAAATGCAATATCAAAGTGCGGTATATTCAAAAACGGTTCCTGCTCCCAAGAGTCTGGCGAGTCAACCATGTAGCCTTCCAGGCCTCTTATATGGAGACTGAGCTTCCTGCAATCTGTCGGATTCTTCGGCCCAGCAGGTGGCAGTTTTGAACCTCTGGTATCGTCGATAGAAAGAGTCCTCGAAGCAGCCCGTCGTCTAGGTGGCGGCTTAGTTCGTGATTCACTCTTGCGAGCCCTATATTCTATTGTCCAGGAATCCAGTTGTAGCGCTACCCCTCTAGTGAACTCGGATATCTCCTCATCGACTCCGGCAACTTCCACACTAAAGTCAATTCCTTCCATCTTGAATTGGTCGATCCATAATGGTATCCGGCGAAGTAAATTCGGATCGTCACTCGTCTCAGGTTTGCTCAATTTATCCGACTTCACATTTCGGTGGAACTGACCAACCGTCTGTTTGATCCCTTGAACAATCTCTGGTCGAACAAGGCGAAGGGAGAAGGTCTCAAGATATGCGTGAGCAGTTACCTCTACTTCCGGGGAGGCGTTAACCTGGAATTTGATGTCAAAAGCATCAGTTTGGAGCAGGTCATGCTTTTCGCCCGAATGCGCTTGATAGTAGAGGTGATGGGACGTAATTCTAAAAGAACAAGACAGCGAGTAGTCATTTTGGCCTTCTGATTCATGCGAAGAGTCCGCAACCGCAGATATTGACGAAAGGCTAGAGATAAGCATATCCATGTCACCAGCTGCTCGGCGCTCCGGATCATTAGAGGGCAGCAGAATTCGAATAACCGGTTCGTGAACGGAGAAATTAATACTTGCTTTCGGAAGCAGCTTCGATATAAGGTGAGTTCTCTCCCGAGATCCAGACGGAGGTTTCTCAGGTTTTGACTGAACAAGGGCCAACAAGATCGGGAGATGCCTTGGTTCAAGATCAATCGAAGGAGAAGTGACAACTACGTTGGCAAAAAGAATATTTGTGTTCCGGTTTGACTCCGACTTCTCAACCAGCTGGATCGTCTTCGATGGCAAAGTGGTCTTGGAGGTCATCGTCACCATAGGAATATAAAAGAATTTATCCTTGCGGACGCCATCGTCAACGCTCACCGAGATGGATATCGCAGCCAACAGAGCCTGGTGAGCGATATCTTGTGGAGAAAAGTACCTAAGCCGCAATGTTAGCAATCAGAAGATCAACACTATGCTTTGGAGGGCTAGCGGACATTCTGTGTGCTGGTGATTTCTGATCCAAACGATGGACATCCATTGCCAGTTCCTTCATACCAACTAGGACCTTCAATGGCTTCCCTGATGGCTGTATCGACCTTACAGACTTAGTTATCAGAAGATATCCGATCGCAAACTGAACCTCCTTTAAACCGCGTAACAACGACTCCAAGAATTCCTTTGACTCCATAACCGTCTCTGCCATTCGTTCAGTCGCGCTACCCGGTAAAGACATTTCCTCCATAATCGCTCCCAACCGAAGCCTAGATCCTGACCTCCGAGGTTTCTTGACAGCAGGAGCTCTGATGGCCCGCAACTTAACCAAACACTCCAAGATCTCGTCGAGTGGTATGGTAATTTTCCCAACCTTAAGCGCCATAGCCGCATCTCGGAACACGTCCAACCCATTTTCTAGCAAACCATAGGTATTGAAGTTGCAGTGGTCCAGAATCTCAATAGGCTCCCTCTTTTTCTCGGGGAAGAACAGAACACTCCTAGCAGTAAACATCCATTCGATTGGATTTTGATCCTCCTTCAAGTCAGTGGTATGATCGAACATGCGGTTCCTCTCGGCGGTCTTCCGCCGAGTATCCAGTATCATCGTCATACTCCCCACCTGCACACTCCCGACATCTGCGATGGACAGGTTGGTATTGGTAAAGACAATATCCACCATCTGTAGCCACTTTACCAATTTGTGTACCTTCTTCAACGACTCCCTTAACTTGCTGATCCCCTCCCAAGCTCTGGTATTCCGCCTCATCCCCCGCCCCTCTTCACCCTTCAACGTATCCTTCCGTCCCCTTCCTTTCCCCTTCTTTTCCCCTTCATCAGAATCACTTTCCTCCTCCTGTGTCTTCCTAAGATCGACAGAGAATTGCGAGTCCGAGATAGCAATGCTAATCCACGTTGGTTGAGCAAACGTAGGTCTGTGCAACAAAAGACCTAACTTCCGGACCTCCAGCTTGATGCCGTTCTTAGGCTCATAACTCATACGTTTGAAGGAAAAATATCCAATGCGTTGAATAGATATCCCGGTAAGAATTCGTAGGACGGCAAAGAGCACGAACGTAGACAGGTAAGCCAGCACCACCACGCCAAGCAAAAAGGTCGGCAGATGGTATGCGGTAGCCATGATTTTTGAAGTTCCTAGATTTTCTTGCTGAATCACGAACTATGAAAACAAGCTCCGAAAGAAGAGAAAAAATGGCGGGGACCTTCGGTTTGTCTATTGCTGTTTGGTTAATGCTTTACCAAACCCTCATCATCAGTACAGTAGCGCTGACACAATGCTGATACAATGGGCCGTTGTTTAGAACTCGGGTTTGCTGAAGGTTAATAATGTAGCGTTTCCGGTGGAGCAGAGGAGGCAGAAAAGAGTGTCAAGCGTCGAATTTGAGAGAGTACGAGTAATAGGTGGGATAGAGCTAGGTCAACTCCTGCATTCCTGATAGAAGGGAGAGGGGAAAACAAAACCCTTCCACCACCCCTTTAATCGGATGGAGATGAGCTGTCACGAAGCACCCGCGAACAAGAGCAGACTTGCTGCTCTTTGGGCTCGATTCATCGCCAAGAATTCCTGCCTTCCGTTTTGCCAGGCTTAATTTGGCTTGGCTTTCGACCCGGGAAATTGGTCATGCTTTGGCCGTAGAAATTCTGCCAATAATAGCATCCCCTATTTGAATGTCACGATAACCGGGAGCCAGCGGTATACATATCAGCGCAAGCCAGTGCCTTTTTCGACTCTTGACTTGGGCAGTTTTTTTGTTGGGTAAAGCTTTTGCTACAAGCTAATTTATACATCGCTCTCAACAAGATATCGTACCAGTAAATTATCTCTTGAGTACGGTAGCCAAGTCCTCGGCACCCCTTAAGGCATTCCCTGTCACCGGACCGGAAGATCTGACCGCCCGATACCAATTTCGGAACATCCGTCCGATCTACAGCACGATACTGGTATCTTAACGGCTAAACAGACAAGATGAATCAAGCCCACAGAACCATGGTTGTCGGAATACCGGTATCTAGCATAATATCGTACAAGTAATGAATGCTCGAGCAACTTATTTCTCTTCCATTGGTTCCCTCTTCTGTCTCTCCAATTTCTCTATTTCCTCATTTGCAATTGCAATATCTGCCTCGACAGCCAAAAGCTTCTCTTTCAGCATATCCGCGTACTCCTTGCTCGTCAACCGCTTGACGGGACTCCACCTTGAACGGATAGCACGATCCAATATACTCTCCTTTGGCTCCTGGTTTTCCATTTTTTCAATTACCTCTTGTGTATGTCTCGCATCGGCAACGTTATAGGCATATTGACCTCCCAACCCTACCAGACCCCAGACAATGGCGCCCGGAACAACGTTTGGCATTTTACCTATGATCAATAAAAAACAAAGGAAAATGTTAATGCGAATTCATCGTGAGTTTGCCGCTAAGACCAGATTCAAAGATCGGGTCCTCGTACGCAATATTATCCCAAGAAAACCGCCAGCAATAGCCCCCGAAGCCCCGCTAATAAGGACTCTGTCCCTGGGTACCATTGCTGTACCAGGCGGGGAAGCATCGTAAATGGCACGACACATTGTCGATCTGACAGCTGTCGAGTCCATTAGGTACCAACCAATGTTTTTCAATTATCAACCTCAAAATCCAACCAGAAATGATCACACACCCCAATAGGTCCAACCAAGTACAAAAGTGTTTGCGCCCGTAAGTACGGCGAACGTCTTAGCATGTGGGGTCGACCGAAGAATGCCAATAACCCCTCCGGCAAGTGTACCAGCAAGTCCTGCTCGGGTGTTAGAAAGAACAAGCTCGCCAGTGACTTAAACTGCGGGCCGAATAAACGAAAAAAACCTACCGGCCACTGCACCTGCCTTGAGAGCAGGGAAGAGGATTGGCTCAGGAGGCTCAGTCCGGGAGGAGTTCTGCATAATGGCTTGCCGTGGTTGCTGAGGCTCTCTCTCTTGCCTGGGATGATGACGAGGGTTCAATTGATGGTAGGGCGTACGTCGCGAGGATGCAAGAGATGGAGGGAGGCAGAAATCAGATCTCGGAGAATAGAAGATAAAGAAGCAAGCACCTGTGAACAAAGCGATATCTCCCGAGCAGCGGAATTTTCTGTTTGCAGAAATATTGGATAGCAGCGGGACCGAACCTTACTCCAAGAGGGGGGAAGCAAAAGAAAAAGGAAAAAGAAAAAAAAAGAGTCTAGGCAACATACCGATACTCAAGCACCGCCCTGGCACTCGTGCTGTGTCAGAGGCTCAGAGCACATACTCGTACATACCGGTGCAGGAACCGGCAAGAGTGCAGCAGAGGGAGGATAGGGTAATTTCGTGCCACTTTCCCGTGTGTGTGGCTCTCTGCCCCCCCCCGCCACTCCACTCATGTATGATAGAAAGTGGAGGACAGACTGGCTTGATGAACAGGTAATTAACTGACTGAATCAACTCTTATGGGGACTGTGAGCAATGGTGCAACGCCCCCTTTGCAGTCGAATCTTGATGAAATTCTAAGGATAGCCGGTGGGAATGCGAGATTACTACTAAGTTATCTTTGACCGATCACTCAATTTGGCCTTTACGATGTACAGTACATTGCAGTACTCGAGTATGATATCTCCATATTCATTCCACCGGCAATATCGTACTGCAAACCAGCTTTTCCTCCCTGCGCATGATTGCTAGTATCGTACCACCACTACATACAGTAGAACTAATACCGGCAAAGATCACGTATCACACCCAAGTGCTAGTATTTGTAGGAGCTCTATGGTAAAATACTCGAGAATATTGGTGGACTGGGGAATTGATTCAGTTCATGAAAACGCTGTTCGAGTACAGTAATCGAGTAGGTTGGCATCATGACCGCACCTCAATAAGGGTGTGTACTCGTGCGGTACTCGGGTACGAGTGCTTTAGGGTACAATACCGGTATCTTGTTGCCAACTTCGACTTTTTGTCATAGCATCATCCCATCCCCTTCGCAGCTTCGCTTCTCTCCTGTTACTTTCAATACTCGAGTACTCGTACCGGTACTGCGCAGGAGTCCAGTACTGCGGTGACACACTTTTTTCTGCCACACACAACCTGGCCTCTCATCCCACTGCCGACCGACGTTACCTTGCACTCTGCTCAACCGTTACCCTCCAAAAAAAAAAAGACGAAAAAAAAAAAAACCTCCCCCCCCATTTCTCCCAACTGTGACCCTCCCACTTCTTCCCCACACTCTTCCACCCCCCCCCCATTTTTTTCCTACAACTCAATCTTCTCGACAAACAATTTTTTCCCCCTTGCTAAACGGGCAGAACAGTCCTTTTAGCGTATTCATTATCAGCAAGCGCGCTTCCCATATAGAGCGCGTTCGCTGTTCTCGCAATCATGGGTAGGCACCGAAATTTCTCCTTGGTTTCCGCTTCGATCCGATGCGCACTACGGATATTAGTGCATGGCTTTTCACAATGGTCATTATTTGGCTGACCGTCTTTTGCAGCGCCGCCAAAATCGAAAGGCCAGAAGATGGCTCTGGGAGATTTCCTTCAAGATGAGAGTACGTCGCCAGGCACATCCTCTTCGCTTTGCAGGACCCTGCTTGGCGGCTCTTTTTTATCGATAATCAACATGCTAACGTATCCCCCCCCCCCGATAGGCTTGGGATCCTGGGCTGATGAAATGGAGGACATGCCCACCATCCGTACGTGCAATGTTTAATTCCCCCATCATTCCTCACCCTCTTCATTATTTTCTTATTATTTCACTCCATCATCCTCTAACTCTATAACTGCCCCATAGCCTCTGGTGAGTTTGACCATACCTAGTTATATGCTCACCTCACTGGCTGTGGGCTCTCTTTCCTTCGCTTCTGATGTGCTGATTTCTTCTTGTTCCTAGAAAACCGCCCCGGAGCTGTATATGGCAACCGTCGTGATTATGGTGGAAACAGTAGCTTTGGTGGAGGTAACCCAAGCAGAAGTTGAACTTCTACCTTCCCTTCTCCTTCAACTGCTATTTTCTGACCTTTGGCCTGTCCAGGTGACCGCGAGGACCGTTACCCGCCTCGCCAGGCTATCCCGCCCCCCGACAAACCCCCCTTTACTGCTCATGTTGGGAACCTATCCTTCGATGTGACCGAAGCACAGATGTCCGAGTTCTTTAGCTCCTGCCAGGTTGAAAACGTCAGGCTTGTTCGCGATAGAATGGATGACCGTCCTAAAGGGTTTGGATATGTCGAGTTCAAAACTAAGGAGGGGTTGATTGCCGCTGTCAATATGAGTGGCGAAGTGTTTTGTGGTAGGGGTGTGAAAGTTAGCGTCGCTGAACCACGTATGTCTCCCCCAACAATGAAGTCCCCCGGCAATGCTGGCTGACACACCGCTTTGTAGAGAAGGATCGTGGTGATGATCGTACCCAAGGAGAATGGCGTCGGAGTGGCCCTCCTCCCCTTGCCGACCCCCCACGCCGGGGGAGCGAGCGTGGTGATCGTCTTGGTGATCGTTTTGGGGAAGGCGGAGACCGTGGCGATCGACGCCACAGCTACAATGATGCATCTGAGAGAGCGCCTCCCCGCGAAGCCCGGGAGCTCGACTGGGGGAAAAAGACGGCTCTCCCTCCTACACCCACTGCAAGTGAGCATGGTGGTCGTCCTCGTAGTGGGGATCGTGAATATAGAAGGCGTTCCCCCGCACCGGCTAGCGAAGGAGGCCGGGGGGGTTCCTACCGCGAGCGTCCACAAATCGAGAGGCAGCAAACCGCCCCCGAGAGGAATAACGCATGGCGTAACACCGCTCGCCCGGATCCCCCGGCTGTCCAAGAACCGCCTCCTAGGAGCACTCCTGCCAGTCCTGTCGTCCCTCATACCCGTCCTAGGCTAGAACTCAAGCCTCGAAGTGAACATCCCGTTGAGCCTGGGCCAACTTCTGCAGCGTCTACTGGTGAATCATCAAAGGCAAATCCGTTCGGCGCAGCTAGACCTATTGATACATCCCAGAGAGAAAAGGAGGTTGCGGAGAGGAGAGCAGCCGCCATTGCTGCTAGGAAGGCCAAAGAAGACAAAGCCCGCGAAGAGAAGAAGGCCCGCGAGGCCGAGAAGCAAAGCGAAGCTGGCACCCCGACCGGAAGCAACAAAAACTTTGCGCTTCTCAGAAGAGCGTCAACAGGCCCTGAGGGAGCTGCTGCAGACGGCGAGGGCGAAAAGGAAAAAGAGGCTAAGATAGAGAAGAAGGACGAAAGGCCATCCAAGGTTACAGCGAGCAGCTGGAGGGCAGCCAGGCCGGAGCCAAAGGATAGGGATGTTGCGAAGGAGCCTAAGCTTGACATTAATAGGGCCTCCAATTCCGCAGCAACTGAGGAGGACACCGATGGTTGGACTCCAGTCTCCGGCAAGCGGGGGCGCGGAAGTGCAAATGGTACAAAATCTTCGACAGGTTCTTAAATGCTGTGTATTGTGGGTGCTTTCTTTCTTTTTTTTTTTTAATCAAAAACGGAAATTTAAAAGCGTGTTTCTATGTCTCTCCATTACTTGTTATTCTTTTCTTATGTCATTTTCTGCTTCGCTGTTCCCTTCCCCTTCGTCCCCTATCGCCTTCCCTCTTCCCTCTTCACATTTTCTTTTCTTTTTGGAATCACAAAGCTAGAGCGTTGGGTCTTTTCCTCCTGTTTTTTTTTTTTTCCTTTTATTATTCTCTCTCACTTGATGATGGCTGGGGAAAAAAAACGTACTTGGAAAAACCAAAAATAGTCTCGGGTCCCTTTTCATGTATTACAGCTTCTTGTTCCTCCTAAAAATGAGAATTTGAAAATGTTCACAACATGGTATTCCTAGCTGCTGTGTGATGTGTTGAGCCCGTGCTGCGTGCCGCGCCACCTTGCCAACCCCCCCCTTCTGTGTCGTTGAATGGTCAGTCTTTTGCTTTGGGATGGTTTGTCTTTCTTCTCTTGCCTTATTTACCCTTTATGCTACTACAATTGATTACGATGCATTATAGGGGAGCGGAGCTGAGCGGGCTGAGATGAGACGATGAGACGGTATAGATGGATGGGTGAATAGATGGGTGAGGTTCAATGGAGATGTGAGATATATCTCTCCAGTCTGGCTAAAGGATTGGGTTCAACAATTTGGTATTGCTTGCAACTGAAATAATAATATGACAAACAAATTGTATTGGTTGACACCGGTCATAAGCCATCATTCGGTGGAGTTATAGTGACGTACAGTTCTGTCTCATAAGTTTCCGCACTGCCCAGAGCAACAACACAATGCCACAAGTGAAAGTGATTGACATCACAAAAGTCTACCGTATACGAGGATTCAGAAAAATAGGAGATAAGTGAAAATCTAAAGGTTCCTCCGTTACACTATTGGACCTGGAAACTACGGGTACCCAAAATAGGAATATCTGACCCTCCAAATAATGGCCTGTGACTCATCCTACCTTATACTTGTACCAGGAACTATGATATTAGTCTAGTCTATCCTGAGATTTGCCTATCTCACTACCAGCTTTCAGTGGGCTATAAATACCGGTATTTTTCTAGTATTTGTCTGTTATAGCTAGCTGTCGCATATGACCTCCAGCACGATCAACTTCACCCACTACGGTACCGGTATGTAATAACTTATTGTGTAAATATTGAGAGAGAAAGGAAAGAAAAGAAAAGAAAAAACCCCCACACATGGCGCAGTACCCCGAGATTAACAGATGTCCCAGAATCACTTTTGGAGCTATTAAGGAAGTTCGTGGAATTTTGATCTTGGAGAAGATGTCAATTCCCCTTGTTCCTTATCCCGCCAAATCAACCTCGTCCTCCCACCGCCGGTATAACCCGCGATTGTTAGGATGGCGTGCACTATCGTGTGGGAGTCGACAGAAATCGGGAGTGTTTGTATGATGGGGAATTGGGAAGCGATAGTAAATTACGAGCACTACGAAGTGATAATAGCTGAAAGGACTGGCTGCGTTGAGTCGCTTGAAGAGACTAGGAACATACACGATGCTTTATAGACCTCCTCTGAATTTATTGTTTGAATGCGGAACCCATTTTTGATGTGGAATACCTAACTGCTGATAACTTTTGGTGCCAAGATCGAACACAGTGGATCACCGAGTGTCGGAGGTAAATTTATGACAAGAGTATTTATTGGCCGGGTAACAGCCTAGCAACAGGAGAGCTATTGAAGCGCTAGGCCTAAATAGGCAAAAAGTCAATATTGACAAGTCCAAGCAGCTCGGCGTCTATTCTTCCTCGCCCCAAACTTTTTGTTTTGTCTCTACAAACTTCCATGTTCTCGCCCCATCCTGCTGCAGTATCAATCCCTTCCTTCCCTTCCCATCCCGAGCTCTCATTCTTGCCTGCGCACACAACCGTGCCTTTACTTATTTTCAGAAAAACACACATTCCCTTCCCCTCCCCCCCTTTCTGGCACCCACAACAATGCCTCCTGAATCTCGCTCTCTCCACAACCTCACCCTCGAACACCATCATACTCTCCGAACCTCTGCTTCTAGCGCTTCCTTACGTTCGAGAGATGGTAGTCTGTCCCCTCAGAAAATGCCTACAGAATCAAATAATTCCGGCGGCGGCAATGTCCGTGTCGTCGTTCGGGTTCGAGGATTCTTGCCGAGAGGTTTGTTTGCCCTACCTTTTACCTCTGGTGATGCTATTGCGCTGACGAAGTTATTTGTTTAGAGATTGAGCGCGGCGCAGCCAACTTAATTGAGATGGATCCGCGAAACCAATCTACCACACTTCACCCGCCCCCGCCAGACTCGGCTAAGGCGAATGCGAGGAAGGTGATGGACAAGAAGGTTTTCACCTTCGACAATTCGTTCTGGAGCTTTAACCGCCATGATGACCATTACGCGGACCAAGATGATGTCTACGATGCGCTTGGAGAGGAATTTCTAGATCACAACTTTGAGGGATACCATACTTGTATTTTCGCATACGTACGGACCTCCAACTCAACTGTGTGTGAAAACGGCGTTAACGTACATGGCAGGGTCAAACTGGAGCTGGAAAGAGTTACTCGATGGTTTGTTTGCGCCTAAGTTCAACGACACCGAGAGCGTGGTGTGCTGACGACTGATCATTTGTGAAGATGGGCACCCCCGAACACCCTGGTCTCATTCCTCGTACTTGCCGAGACTTGTTCGAGCGTATAGAATCCAACAACTCGCCGAGCGTCAACTACTCCGTCCGTGTTTCGTACTTTGAGGTTTATAATGAGCACGTTCGTGACCTTTTGGTCCCCCGCAGGGACCCACCGTACTACCTTAAAGTCCGTGAATCGCCTACGGAAGGTCCTTACATCAAGGATTTGACCGAGGTTCCAGTTAGAGGTATTGCTGAGGTTCTTAAGTGGATGAAGATGGGGGATAATAGTAGAACGGTCGCCAGTACCAGGATGAACGACACTAGTAGCAGAAGTCACGCAGTCTTTACGCTTGTGTTGAAACAAATTCATCATGATATAGATACCGACGAGACTACCGAGAGAGTTGCTAGAATTAGGTAAGTTTTGGTCGGATGACCGGGATTGAGATAGTAGCTGATGGAGATTAGACTTGTGGATTTAGCAGGTTCTGAGAGAGCAAACTCTACAGGTGCAACAGGTGCTCGGTTGAGGGAAGGCTCCAATATCAATAAATCTCTTACCACGCTCGGGAGGGTCATCGCGGCACTAGCAGATGACCCTCCCCAAAAACGCGGAGGAAGGAAAAAGGAAGTTGTTCCATACCGCGATTCCGTAAGCTCTCTTCAACCTTGCATCCCCCCCACCATTCCACCAACCTAATCCTACGTTCGCAGATCCTCACCTGGCTCCTGAAAGACTCGTTAGGCGGCAATTCCAAAACTGCCATGATAGCGTGCATCTCCCCGAGTGACTATGACGAAACCCTCTCGACCCTCCGCTACGCCGACCAAGCCAAGCGCATCCGCACCCGCGCCGTGGTGAACCAAGATCACCTCTCCTCTGCCGAGCGTGATGCCCAAATCGCCGAAATGCAGGAAACCATCCGCGCGCTCCAGATCTCTGTCTCACAGGTTGCCATGACGAAGAAGCAAAACGACATGCAGAGCGAGCAGCTGGAAATCTACCAGACCGAGGTAGATAAGATGCAGCGCAAGATGGAAGAGGCAAGGACCGTCGCCGAGTGCAAGATCAAGGCACTGCAGACGCAGAACGAAGCGCTGAGACTGCATTTGAGGCTCGCCGTTGAGAGCTTGAAGAATCCGATCCCAGCCGTCGTTCCGCCTAGCAGGCGGACTAGTATTGGTGAAGATTGGGAGGAGTATAATAGTGATGCCCCTGACGAGGTTGGTGATGGTAGTGACGAGGATGGCAACGAAAGGGATGAGATGGAGGCTAGGCTTGAGGATCTTCTCAAGGATTTGGGGATGTTCCGCCGGAAGGTTTCTGATGATAAGAGTCGGTTTCTGGGGGATGCGTATCTGAAGGAGATTCACATTAACTAGATTATGGAAACTGTAATGATTATGCATGACGGATGAGTTGCTTGGTGAACGGATGGATGGATGGACAACAATGGCAGGCGTTTGTTGTTTTCTTTTCTTCCAGAGTATAGCATAAAAAAACGGGGGGTGGCTTCAGGCCTTTCTTTCGTCTGATTCTACATGTATAAATTTATCATTCCCACAATCATGCCAATTACTTTTCTGCAAAGCGGATCCCGGGCTCCCCCATAGACTGATCCGTTTCTCACAATTCTATATACTAAAGTGCCCCCCCTCCTTCTCTTCAATAATATACAAATAAGTAGGATGATCCACTGCCCAGTTCAGTCAAACATCAATCCGCTTAGCCTTCCCCACAAGACTCCGACTGGTATTCAAAACAAACATATCCGGTCCAGTCTCCCCATCTTCGATGAGCCCCTCAATAGTCTTCGCAACAGTGCGATTCGAGGTAATCGTAGTGAAGCCCTTCTTCCAGCCGGTCACGAACACAGCCCTATTCACAGTGCTTAACTTGGCCACAATCCTCTGCTGCGGTTGATTCTCAGGAGCCCAGTCGTCTTCGATGACGCCAACCGGCAACTTCAGCTCCCACTTCCCCCCACTCGCTCCGGCACTGTTATGGTCGAGTCCATACGTGCTTAGCCCCTCCCACTCCCCCTCCTCCGCCTGCCCTTCCAGGACCATTCTCGTGCGCTCCTTCTCGCTGGAACTGCCGACAATGTCCACGATCTCCACAAAGCGCTTTTTCGCCGTGACCGTGGTGAGGAGGGTGCGGGCGTGCAGGAGCGGATAGATTTCCTCGCCCATGCGGCGGCCGGAGGACTCGAGCGCTAATTGGCGGTGTATGGCGGGGTGGAAGCGCTCCTGGATGGCCACCGGGCCGTGGGTTATGTCTGAGACCAGGGCCAGTAGGATTGTAACGTCGAGGTTTATGGTTGTGGAGGTTGTGATTAGGGGTTTTATCATTTCTTGGAGCGCTTCTGTGTCTGTTACTGTTGCTGCCGGTGGTGGTGGCGGCGGTGATTGTGGGGTAGTAGTAGTGGTACTTTCAGCAGATGTTTCTATCGCAGCTGCTATCGGGTCTTCTTCCCCACCCAGGATAGCCCCAGAGCCAAGTTGCACTCTAGCCCCTTCCGCCATAATCGCCTTAATGAACCCCTCCACTGCAACCCTCTCCTCCCCCTGCGCCCCCTCCCCTCCACCATCCAACAATAAACTCGGCAGCCAGACAAGTACACTGGGGTGTAAATACTGCACCCTAAAGCACCCACTCGCCTTCACTAACCCCCTGACACACTTGACGAGCCCAACCTCACCCTCTGCATCCTCCCACCCACCCTTCGCCAGCGAATGCACAACCCTCTCTGCCGTGATGGTGGAAACCTTAATCCAGACGAGCCCATTCCCAGCGACCACATCCACGCAAACGCTCCCTTTCTTGCCCTTCCTCTCCTTAGAGTGCCCACCACCCCAATCCCCCGCCTTGCCCTCCTTATCAACAAACCCAAAGCTTTGACAGATTCCACGAACGCCCACTTGTGCACGTGCGCATTTCCACACGGCCTCCAGGTAACTCAAGTTCGAACTGCGCATGGAGTGTGTGGATTCTGGGGTGGGCGGGGTAGCGGCGAGGGCCTCAAGCATGCGCGTTTCGCTGCGTAGCGAGGTCGCGAAGGGTCGGATTTCAACCTCTTTTGTTAGCGAGTGTCGGCGCAGGTGGGTCTGCAGCGACTCGAGGGAGTCCAGGAGTCTGTGGGCGCGGGTTACGAGGGCTGCAGCGAGCGGGTTTGGGGAGTCGGCGTCTGAATCAGAGTCTATTATATCTTCGGAGTAAGATCGGGGCATTGTGGCTGCTCTGTGGAGTGTTGGTGATGGTAGGAGAGGTGGGGTTGAGGTGTGAGGTGCAGATGAAGGAGGGACAGCGAGGATGATGATGGCGGGGTGGGGCTCAAGTTGCTACGGAGATCCCGCCTTGGCATGGGGATGGGTGTTTGGCACGCGCTGGTATCTTACTCGTGTTTAGGTTGAGCCACTACCGATCTTACCGTATGGTAGTTTAGCACCGAGAGAATCTAGTATGGATACAGTAGGTGCTAGAATCCACAAACCTGCGAGAAACCTCGCCTCGAGGTCACAACTAATATCACATCTCACTCCATCCAACCCGAGGCCCACCCAACCATAATACATTTGAGCAATCGAAATAGAGTAAAAACACATAAACATAAGAAAATACTTGAAAACACGGAACCTTCGCTCCCTTTGCGGCCCTGGTGTTAAGGGAGATCTATTCCTTCTTCCCCGTCAGCCCCTTTTTTGACTCCTCGTCATCATTATCGTCATCGCTGTCATCTTCATCTCCAGTCCACCGGTCATCTTCCCCCACGGAGAACATCGTCTCGCCTTCTACTGAATCTCTCCTATCCAACGACCGCCTTGTTGTCGGGGACAGCTGTACAGGCTGCAACGGCCTAGAAGCCTCGGCATTACGAGTACCAATTCCCATCTCTTCGTCACGACCCTCCTCAGAGTCAACCATACTTGCGATCTCGAATCCATCGTCGTCCTGGGCCAATTCGTCACTCATGGCGAATCGGCGATTGTTAGCGGTTGGGCGCCAAAGATAGGCAATCACGGACAGGTCGACAAGGTAGACCAGGTTGAGCCAGCCATCAAGGACAAACCATCTGGTTTTCCAATGTGTAGGAACAAAGTCCGGTGAGCCATGGCGGGTAAAGGTGAAAGAGTTAAGGAAGAAGAATGCAAAGATGACCATAATGGACCCAACGAGCACCCACCAGAGGCGCTTGAACATGAGTAACTTGACGTTCTGTTTGCGATCGAGCAAATCCTTCATGGTAAGTTTGAGTGAGTTGAGAGTCCATATGTAGAATGCTGTAAGAGTTGCGGCAAGTGGCAAAATGACGAGCATGACAAGAGGGCCGGCATTATCGGGTGTGATGGTCAACGAGGCAATAGCGTAAACCATGCCAAAGAGGAAATGAGCAAGAGCTAGGATCCGCACCCACTTCATCATGGCGCCCAAACTCGGCCTTTCCATCAAGTTAGCGCTGATTCGCTTTCTGCCATAATAGAACCCTTACTTCACGACACCATATCCCATGCACACAATGAGCAGCAAGAAGAATGAGAATGAGTTCCTTATGGCGTTCAAAATTGCGACGACAACCATCAAGATCTTAGCGCCAGCGTTAGATCCGTGAGCATTCATGTAGTCGTAGAATGCCCAAGTGATCAGCATTTCCAGCATCAGGAAGATCAAAATCGCCGTAATGTAGTTTTGCACCGGCACTGTCCTTCATTAGCACACTTCTCCTTTTGCCTGTCCTAGAAAAACTAAACTCACAGATATCTCTCCGATGCTGCACGTACAAGAATGCCCACAGGGCACTAATAAGCGCATACACAATTGTAAGACCTCCGTAGAATGGCAACTTCGCAATTTGTGACGCCGGTAGCTCTCCATAAGAGTTCTGGAAGGTAACAACACCATCATACTTGAGATCACCGGGAGAGAAAGCGTTTGACCAAACACAGTAATATCCCGTCCGCTTGATCGGATATAAAATTGGCTTGACTTCCTTTAGGTTGAGTTTCATATTGACTATACTTCCAGAGGAGCTCCTATTTGTTTCCGGCTCTAATATGAATTTGCCGACATCGGTCGAATTGCAGAGTTCCGCGCGGACAGATTCGTCGGTACAAATGTATTTTTTCTACATTTCCCTCCGATCACCATTAGCCCCCCGCCTCCACAACAACTGGAGCGTCACTCAGGGAAAACACACATCGAAAGAGTCCTCGCTAGGATACCGCCCAAGATACTCTTCATCGCTCCACTCGAAGATGATGAAACTGATAGAATGATCCTCCTCATGGGGCGTGAACTTGATTGTGATAGCAGGATCGACATTTCCGCCCCATGCCTTCTTATTATACATTCCCGAACATTGCTGTTCTTCATCCCCACTCTTCTGTCCCATTGGATCAGATCCATTAGTACTCTTCCTCGTCCTGAGAGATCTACCAACATCCCGGGATATGTGAGGGAGTTCAGACGTACCAGGGGGAACTCGTTTGCAACCGCAAGACTGCCCGTGAAAGCAGCGAGCAAGCCAGCTTGCAGCCAGCGATGCATTTGGAAAAATCGAAGAAAAAAACAAGTCAGAGGGAGGGTGTTGTTTGCTGTTTCTGCTGTTTGTTTCGTCGAAGTGAAAAGGGATTTGGACTGCAGCTCCGAAATAAAATCGGGATGTTTGGCGGAGAAATTGTTAAGGACAACAACGTCTTTGTCATGCGGCTCAGCCCCAAGCCGCGTCATCGATCGTCACTCTGTCTTAGCATTGTAGCCAGAGGAATCGTAGCACCTCTGAGGAGTCCGGCGGGCAGTGTAAACGAACCGCTCTCGTCTCGTCCCGATGTTCGGATTTAAACTCCCAAATTTATTGCCACAGAGGTCAAGCTCGGTCACTTTTAATCACTCGGTATTTGCCACTCGGATCCCATCTGAAGATAGCCTAAATTGATGCCTCTTTCCAGGGATATTATGATACAAGTATAGTGTCCAGCAGATCTCGTGAGAGCTAGGAGCGCTAGTCGCTCGTAGAAGACAGGAGAATTCTAACAACACAAACAACGCAGCAACAACTCCGCCCCCCACCCGAAGAAATAGACGGCAAAGCGGGAATAACAGAGGTGCTTAACTCCCAGCAAAGCCAGAGGGATGCGGCGGAATCGATATGTATCGGACCCGGTCGGATGCCAACTCGTGGGCACCAGCACCATAAGCACGGCACTGCACGGGAAACATCCATTCTACCCCCAAACACCCCTGGTCGGTACTGGGGCCCTTCCACCACCCCACTTAATGACACCCAGTAACCCTCTCTCGGTTTGCCCATACTAAACTCCCAATATTAGCGACATCGGCACTTAATGCTGGATCCGAGTAGAAAAAACATACAAAAGTCCGTTCTGAATTTACCACTCCCGTATTGACCCAAACTGCCCAAGACTCCATCATATTTGCCATAAGAACATCTGTGAAGAGCCGATCCCCCACAATTGCGACCTGGTCTGCTCTCTTGACATCCGTCTTGCTCGTCAAATACCTCATGATGTCGGGATGACATCCCGGCTTCTAGTCACCTTGTCAACCCATGTCACCTCTCACAAACCACACCCGAGAGGTCAGTACCTTAGTAGAATGGCGCAGGACATTCACCCCTGTATTCTTCTCCAATACCTCCGCCTAGCCAATTCCACGTCAGTCCAAGGTCCCTTTCCGATTCAAAAGGTGGAGGCACATCAAACCTCGACATGACCAACATCATCATCTGTTCCTGCCGAATTGCTAACAATCAATAACCGATCTCCATATTCCTTTCTTAGCTTCTCAAACGTATCTTTGTAAGCCGGGTAAACCTCCTTGGCATGTGGCACGGCGAAGCAGTTATCTTTGTCCAAGATTACCGCGCGGATATCTGCATTCAATGCGGTGGAAAGAGGGACAGGTAGATGGTCGAAGGTGGGAATTGTGAGATGTGGGCAAAGGAGTGTCGGGGACTTTAGAATTCTCAAAGCGTTAAGGGTTGCGGAGAGGTTGAAGGGGGCCATTATAGGGATTGGCGAGTGAGGGTGTGTGATGTTGGTTGGTTTGAAAATGAGGATTCAACTCTGAGATGGATGGTGGACATTATATATGGGTGTGGCTGTGGCTGGTGATTTTCCCTAACAGTATTTGTGGCGTAGAGTACGGTCTCTGCTGGTGAGGACATTTTGCGCATCCGGAGGGAGTAATGCGGGCGCGAGAAGGTTCACAACTTGGGTTGAAGGGCCTGCGTGCTAAAACAGTCCGATGCTCGTATGATATCATATCAGTTATGGTACATTTTGTTGTTGCCAATCTCAGAGCGAGGGCTACCATTTTTTTTCACCTAAGTCTTACCTCATAATAACCTTTCATTCCATTTGCCGCGCGGCGAGGTGCTGCGTGGGGAAGCCGCTACTTTTAAGCGTGCAGATATGCTTTCTCATGTGTTCCTCTCCTATATCTGTTGTGAAAAATTTAATGGTGTTTGAACGGCTCCATTTGTGATACTACAGAACTTTCCCAACGCCGCAAGTATGAAAGTATGATACCTGGAAATAGGGATTAAAGAGACATATGGTAATAAAAAAATCTGTGAGCACCGTATCTGAGGGTCAATACGGAATACATCCCGCCCTATTTTCGGGCACTTTTTTAATTTCGCGCTTTTCTAACTGAACTAACCCGAAGTTTTCCTCCCGCGTCCAAATTTCACGCTTTCGGGTACTTATAGCCAGGGATAAAGGACATAGAGAAGAGAAAGGAACAAAAGTATGGACGTACTGGGAATAGAGCCCGGGACCATCTCAATTTTCAGGATCAGGACACGGCCATTGCAATTGAGATATTATACCCCCAAACCATGTGCCCATGGGAATATTCCGAGTGATGGAAAATGTGAGATACCATAGTAACAAATCCATGAGTTTACCAAATGGGACTGGTTGAGTGAGATATTGTTGGAGTCGACAATGCCAAAGCTCTGTCGTATCCTTTGCAGTAGGGCCTTATCCCAAGAAAATCGTTTTCCGGAATAGTTAAACACTGTCCAAGAGTTCTAACCTTACATTATGCTTCTCATACCAACCACGTGTATAGCATGAAATCAAGGCATCTACGGCCAATCGTGGATGCAAGAGAGATGGGCTAGGAAATTCAGCCCGCCATGCCTTGACCGTTTTTCTTCCGCCTCATATTGCCTCCTGGGCCCAAATAGGGATTGGGCCTGGAGTTATGAGGAAGGATTTTTGGGATGGATATGGAGCGTCCTGATAAAGGCCATTGTTGCTTGTCCTTTTTACGCCCGAAGTAACTGGTGTTGCACAATATAGCAATGTCTGGCACACCTTATTTATTATCTATCAGCTTTAGGGATCGTGAAGTAGTATGAGATTCACAATTCTTGAAATCTGGATGAAACAGGTATTTCCTTGATAATATTATATATTCTCATCCTTAGTGATTCAGCATCGTACACAAAACTGCCAATATTGCTATAGTTGGAATATGTGTCACATATATATATATATTTTTAATTATATTTTCTAATTACTATTAGGAATGAGTAGGTACCAGTATGCATATTCTTTATAATTTAACTGATAACAGTTCACATATATCCCTTTAGTTACTGGTACGATGGACCATTATTTTTTTAAAAGAACTTAAAGAATAAGACAAACTACTACCAGGATCACAGGACTATGGAGGATAAGCATGAGGTGATGTAGATTGATAAGTATTATGTCTGGTTGGGGTGTATGAATGCTAGGATTTAGGTGATTTAGTTTTCTGAAGAAGGATATGAAGGAGATTAAGATAAACTCTTTTATAAATTCCCATCCTTTATATGTTAAAAAAGTATCTCCCTTACAACCTAGTACATGTATTGTACCGTTATGGAGGCCTTCTCGGAAACCTTTTCCACGGCATGGATGTCACAGAGCTTTGCAATCTTGGCGAGGGGGAGAGAGAGCAGTATTTCATACAGTGTATTGTTACTATCACTACTTGCAACTGGCGAGTGAAGGTATCTATGGGAAATTAATATCCCATTCACCTTCTCTCCATTTAATCCTTCTATATTTCAGATCTTTCAAGTCAGCAAACTATCATATTACCAATGAAGTGTTGTGGATCAATGGCTACGAGAAAGAGTATTAGATAGGTCACAAGCTACAAAAGCAATTTGGGGTTTTTGTGACATCCGGGGGAGTCTGGTAAGAGCCCGAAGACGGCTTCTTTTCGAATATATCGCCCTAGATATCACAAGGCTGCGAAATTAAAGTAGGAGGGATAAGAGCGACATATATCGTAATATGTCGTCACTCAAAATCACTCGTCTCCTTGTCCGAACAGGAGATGTCGATTGATAATAAGAAAGAACCCCAGGATTGATGGTTTTCGGACCATTACATCTCCACAGACATCAAACTCAGCTTCGGAAAAAACAAAGGTTAAACAAAATTTGTCATGTCTTATGTATGGCAGTTGTACGTTAATTTTAAGCTTTTATTAATTTGGATCTGGGAGGGGTTGTGGGCATATGAACCTGTTAAACTCTGTCGCGATATCATACATCTTCCCCATACAAAAATCATGATAAGCACATTTGGGGAACGGAAATTCGACACCTTACTACTTTAAGGGGCGCGTGGGGGGGAGAGAACCCCGCTCTTGTTAATCTGGATGCTATGGCAGTAAATTACCTTTCAACTTCCTCCATAATGTTTCCGCCCAGGGCGGTTGGGTGATGGTAGCTCGGAAACCTCGATTTTGGTGCGCCAATGTCTGCCTCATTACAAACCGACCCCTATCTAGAACTTACCCTCGAGTGACAGGGTGTGATCGCGCTCCATTAGAAAGCCGCCTTCCAAGAGTAAGTCCCCAAACGACCCCCAGTTATCATACCCCAGGCGCGCATACACCCGAACCTATCCACAAATGCCTACCCCGCTCCGTTCCCGCAGTAAATTCGTCCTTCTAAAACTGATCCGGAAGGGCCAGCCCCAAAAACTTATTTAACCATCCCAGCCCCCAGAAATTGGAGTTTGAAAACTCGCTACCGGAGCGCTGCTGCGATTGTATGATAGCTGCCCCACTTCTTAGTATTTTCCCGGAAGCGGGCGGACATGGTGCAGGCTATTATGGTACTATACTGAGGAAGCGAGAGAGTAACGTAAGCACCGTAGGGGTTCGGGGTAAGATAAGGTTTGTGTCCCGGTTGTCTTACTGCTGTGTTTGAATCTTAAGCTGTCAGCAGCGGCAATTTCATTAATTCGGGGGTGCAGGTATCAGTGCCTGGTCTGTACAAGTATTGAAAGAATAATATTCGGTTGGATCGGTAAAAGGTAATCGTAGTTGGTTCGAAGAGGATTTGGATAGAGCAGTGGACAGATGAAAACAAAAGGGTGTAAAATCAAACAAGGATCCATGATAGGTTGGAACAGCACAGTCCTTCGGCTTATTCCTATGTCTAAAATCGTAGAGTTGTTTAAATTCACTCCAACTTAACTGGTATATTTGTTTTGATAGTGTTCGGATTTCGTAGTTCAAACTTGTTTTCTTTCGTGGGTTCGTACGTGGTTGAAAACTCTATGGAGAAGAAAGATGGGAGAAATCCTCTAAGTACAACAAGCAAATTTTCTCTCTCTCAACTCCCAAACGATCCCATCCATCATAACAAAACCCTAGAAACCTTCACCTTGATACAACAAAAGTTATTCAAACCAGAAAAGACCTGAATTAGAAATTTCCCCCGACAGTATCTTAGCTGGATTAGGGCTTTGTTTCCTGGAGCTGCGGGTACACTGTGTTAAGGGCGGGCTTTGGTTGGTGGTCCTGATCTGTGGAAGTATGATAGCCACAATAGATTTAGGTACGACTGCGGGAAACATTACGAAAGGACCTCGACCGGCCCACAATCCCATAACAACATACTGGATGGGGGAGGAGGTTGCGGCTACCTCTAACAGGCGGCAACGCTGTTGTTATCACCGACTTGCGTTCGGTGTTGGGGTTGGTTCCGGCATCAAGAAGCAGTTGGTATGAATGCACATGACCCCCTTCTGGACACGATTAGATCATTCTCGAGTAGGACCCTCGTGATCTGCTCGATCATGCTCGAGTATTCGTGATCATTATCGATCACTCTGTCAATATTTGTATGCCTCAGCAATCAGGTGATATAATATCTATTTGTATACAAACTGTCCGCCCCGTACACCTGATAACATATTCTCAGCGAGATTCTCTATTGCAAATTCTTCGGCGTTCTTCCCTTCGAAGTTCACGCTGTAAAAAAGTCCTCCCCTCCACCATCCCTAAGACGTTCTACCAATTGGAACTAGTTATAGCCTCTTGCCCAATCAACTAGTTTTCGTTTCCTCTCATCTTGGGCTATCAGGTTAACAACTCCTTCCTATACTAAAGCTATGGGTAATGAGTATGTCGAGTCGCTTCTAGTACTTGCGACTGCGGTGTGGAGAGGAGTTTCATAGGCATTATTGATCTCGGCGGGGGGCGGCCTGAAACGTATAGCACCTTGATTGCTGTTCTAATGCCTTCGACGGTAGAGTATTGTAGAGCCGTCCATGATTGAGAATCTCTTGTCCTCACTTCTCCGTCAGCAGCTGCCGCCCTCTCCACAATTCAAACGCTCTTTGCTCGAAGCTATGATGGTGAGTGAAGGGCTGCAGATCCCCGATCAGCTACACTTTCCAATCCATGTTTTTGTAAGGGCTGTTCCGGTGTCTTACTCGAGTACGTTGAGCGCATACCGGTAGTATTGAGAAGTGAATTGGTATGTGCCCTTAATCGCATTTCTCTGTAGAGTCCGCTCCTGCCTCAATCAAGAATCTCGCAACACGGTCCCAGCCACTCTGCGGTGCCCAACAAATTGATGACGAAGTGATGTCTCGATCCACACTTTCGCATTTGACCGGGCACCGGGCTAGAGAAGTTGGTTTGTTGTTCTTTTTTTCGTCACTACTCGAGTATATGCTGCCCAATGCAAAGATGCCGATGCTGCCGACAAGAACTTTGTTGGCTATAAGCATCTCAACAAATTAATAGTGACCTTTCTCAGCTGGCTTGAATTGAAGCAACCTGGTTGCGACAGTCGAAAACCATGACATCGGCGCTAGCGCATGACAGCTGTTCAACAATACCGGGCTAACTCTTTTAGGTGGTGGAGTTCGGTTGGACTGGTCACGTAGGTTAACCTGAATGCCTTCTAAAAGTAGCTTAAGTTAACAACCGAGCCACTTCTACTCGTACCGTACTTGCTTGAATAGCGGCAGAGCGAGGGCCGATTTTCTTTTGCGCTGTTGCCCGCACGTACCGTATTCCAATCCCAAGCTCAAGTAGGTGCTTCACAGCCCCTGTACTCGAGTATATCCCCTTCGAGCAGTTGAGTTTAGCGCAAAGTAGCACGGATACGGTAGTGCGGTCAAGCTGCGCACTCGATATTTCCAACATTATGGATAGCATTTCCGTACGACCGTTCGATTTCGGAGCTGATGGTGATAATATCAGAAGCCGAGGAGAGATAACACGTCGTGGGCGATGTGGATGAACTGATCGGGGGGGGAAGCGTGTGCTACGCTTGGAGATCGACAGCTATATATGAAGAATGGAATCTATGCTAAGAGGCAGTGAATACTGAAAACACTTGGGGCAATGTTCTAGAACAGGAAAAACCGCACAACCATAGTCAAAGTAGTTCTAGAATGCCACACATTATCCTGGGGCTAACCACTGCACTCGAGTATGATGTCATACCGACTAGCAATAGGGATTACTTATCCAATGAGGCTGTGGGGGGTTTCCTGGAATCAGTCCCGGAAGCGACATCTGCGCCTCCATTTTGGGGAATGTGGGCAACTTCTATTTTCCCGTGTTCACTAGCGGGGGGTGGTGGCGTCCGGTGATAAATGTCCCTCGTGTTAACAGTCACCTCTGATAGTGGGTGTTTGATATGGAGATATGACGCCTTGTCGATGTGCGGTGTAATCCCATTTGCCTATTGTCATCCAGAGCCTGAACGTCGGCATCGTTATCCACAAGTTGCTAAACCAGCTCTCGAAGACCTTCCTCGGCATCTATATATACTAGAGTTGCGCCTATTTCATTCCTCAACGCTATGGAAGACTTGCCTTTCTTATTGTATCTCCTCTCTGAGCTGCGTAAGAACACCGGAGGTAATAACGTGGAGTTTGCGGGGCAGCTGCTCTGGTAGCTCCAAGCCGAATATAATTTTAAATTTTGGTCCGGTACTGCGGGCTCCTGAGCCCAGTTGCCAAAGCCCGGGTCATCGCCTTGACAGAACCTCATCACCCCCCAGCACCTGTGAACAGTTGCCTCTGATTCAAAAATTTGGAAAGGCCAGCGAGTTGTAGGGTACGATAGGAAATTAGAATATAGGTGCTTCAACAGTTATCAGCTTGAAATCTGTGGAAATGACCAAATTGACACTTACTCGATCATTCTGGCTCTCGGACTCGGGAGTTATCGAGTACTGTACACCTCACTACCACCTGCTTGGGCCTCGCCTCTTGTATGCTCCCTTGCAATCCTTGGGGGATTTGATAGATAGGCTACGCAAGTAGACGCCACCTCGCTGTTTGCTCGCGAAGGATTGTAGTGGAATATTTCGAGAGTTGAAAACTCGGTCTCGGGAATCCTCTTGTTAGGAAAATAATCGGCGACAGAATAATAAATCGGGCGTACGGTACTGAACCATCAGTGAGGACCTTTATCAGCAGAGGGTAAAACAACAGGGTCATCCCCGCAGGGTCGAGTGGGGGCTGGCGAGGCTTTTCTCCCCCTTGCTCGGCCTTCTCTCTCTGGCACTATATATGTAGCCCTTCAACTTTAAATTGACAACATGTAGTCATCACCTAATGAAACAAATCCACACTGTCAAGTTCATCCGGAAAAAGTCTCACATTTGAGAAGACACCCTGGAGAAAAAAAGATTAATTAACCATCCCTATTCTATGGTTACTCACAAGTGTTGTCGATGAATAAACTCGTAATTTTCTGGCGTTTGTGAACACGACTGCTATTGCATACCACCAAAATCTTGAGGCTCCGGCGGATTTTTTTTCCCATATGCAATAGCACGAGTATGGCAATCGTGCTTGGCCCTTAGATAACAAGCCGTAACCACAACTCTCATCAAATGTGAGTCACACTGTTACATGCGGACTTCCCTCCTCCGGTCGAGGTGATGTCGCTATCCATTGGCCCCATTGGTAGCCTCGATCCCGTTCAAGGTTTCCCCATCACCATGAGAATTTACAAACCTCCACCTGCCAGTACTTCAATGAATGTTTCACTTCCTCGAGTAACCCTATCGTAGTTCACTGTTAATCTCTTTCGGCTGTGCGCCAAGTTTTTTTTTTTTTTTGCCGCTTTGGAACCAACCGCAAAGATGGCACTAACCGCTTTTTTATATATGGTGAGATCTCAGCACCAGTTGAATCACAGGTTATATATGCCTGGGAAACGAGACTTCGTTTCCCAAGCCAGCCCACTCCTCCACGATCCGTGCTCAGGCTGGGCACCGGCAATAACTCTGGGCGAGTTAATATTGCCAGCGAGTAATATAAACTCGTCCATGCAGGCCCAATTCCGCTCTCCTTTCGTACACCCGTCAAGTGCGTCAATGACTTTCCACACGGGAGACAGTTTTGGCACTTGCACTTTCTTTTCCAAGAACCTTTCGAAGCTCAACGACAGACTTGACTCCCCGGCCTTCAGTCACGCTTTCGGCCATCAGTACTAGATAAAGGGGTTTAATTACGATAGATCACAAAACAACATGTCCGATGCCCTCTTTTGCACCAAAAATATGCATTTTTATCCCCCACTCGGATAGCTTCAGCGCCTATGAGAATCTCATCCCCCGTTATCGAACTCGTGGGTAACACATAACACTTTACAGAACTCCTAAAAATCATTAAAAGTTGTGGGGGGAAGATGGGCTAGATGCGGGATCTATGGTTGCTGTAATACAAGTACCATTTTCCGTAGAGCCTCATAAAAACCTTTTTAACTTATGATACTTTCACACCAGGTTATATGATTGTAAACCATGAACTCAATCCCCGCCTTTTCTTATTTGTGCTTCGATGGGGATTGAGTCCGAAGTAATTTTCAGGCTGATATCGAAGTTCCAGTTGTTTTTCAACGGGACAGCCCCCCCAGAGGTCGCCCTCGCCGAAAATGCCCATTCTTCGCCAAACCTGGTGAAGAAAACCCGTGTTGGACGAAACGTTTTGTTTGGGGTACTTGTGTCGTGTTGATCCTCGGCGGTGGAACTAAGCTAGGCTACCATTTCTCTCAGCTGCTCTGGGCTGATAGCACTTTCACATTTCTGAGTACAGTACATGATACTTCCCGGATCGTAGAGTCCGCATCCATCCTAAACCTCGATCGATGTCATCGAACCCTCCCCAACATATTCCAGGTAGTAGACCCATATTTATCAACAACTAATATGTACTTCCTTGTATGAATTTTAAAAAGAAAGATGAAAACGAAATTTATTTTGTCCCCCCCCCAAAAAAAAACTATAAGCTTGGTACTTGTTACAGCCATTGACACCAGCACTTAGTACTCGTACTCTTGTCACCGGATTGGGGTCGCATTGCTTTCAGTGCCTCACTACCAATACCATAGTGCTAGAGTAGAGTACTCGTACCATAGGAACTGGAATACTCGAGTAATTGAGAATGACGCTAGGACGACTAGAATTTCCCCCTTTGGATTAAGGGGAAAAAATATGGGGTAAAGATTCCCCTCCAAGTTCCTCAGCCGAGACAAAATATATCATAAATCTTACTAGGAGAGGAAACTCCAACCAACATCCTAGCGAGATTCTCAACTACCCCAGTTCCAGCCGCCTCGGGACCCTCCCGCCGTTGTAGGGCCATCAAGGAAGGATGATGTGCTTCGAACTCGAGCGGTAGTGGGCGCGGTAAGGAAATCTTGATGATTCGCGGCGGCTTTGTCACTCGAGGCGCGCTCCTTGGCTAGAAGACATGTCCGTGTTAACATCACTTGAAATAACCCAAAGTCGTATGGCTCATGAGCTTTACCTTTGATTCCCTCCCACATCTTAATAATTACCCTCTTAACCATCTGATAATTTTCGTCACTGCTTGATTGGAATTTGTTTAACTCTCTATGCTTGACATCCATGGACATCACCTTTCCCCCGGACCTGTCGAGCACAGCGCTCTCCCTACTAACTACCTATAGGGAACACTCATTAGTAACCTAAAAGCCGACAGTGCAAGAACTTCATACCGGATCCATTGGGATATGAATTTTGTGGAAGATGAATTCTTCACTTTTGGTTTCATAGATGTCGCAATGTTTTATTTCTGGATACCCATCCAGATATCGTTTATTGAGGTCCGAGTTCTCCAGACTGCCAGGCTGCAAGAAGTCTAGAAGATCCGCCCTCGACCCCAGCCAATATGTTGCCAAAGCCGTAATTGAAGCGATACGTGATGCAGAGGATCCTCCGTGCGGTGTACCAAGAAAAATCACACCCCCGAAACAATCCTTCATCTCCTTCATTTCTGGCTGTTCCATAGCATTTACAAGGGCCTTTGGGAAAGTCAGAATACTAGTTATAATGGTTGAACCGAATCATCCAGTACTCACTTGCTTAATCATCGTCCCACCAAAGCTATGACCGATAAATATGACCGGACAGTTTTTCTCTTCTTCCCCTCTGACCTTCTCAAGTTCGCCTAACAATTTGTTACCGTAACCCTTTAGGGTCTCCCGTGGTGTGTTGACTTCCCAGTCTGACTGGTGATTGAAGGCTAAAATCCGCGCCTTCTGGAGATCTGTCCCCAAACAATCCTTTAACCAATGATTCCCAGTCTCCTTATGAACCCAGGCACTCTTTGGATTGGAGCCGAGACCATGAACAGCCACAATGCTATTGCAAGTGTCAGCGTTCCGTTCCCGGCGCACATGTCTCAGCAGGAAGGGATTTGTTCTTACTCCAGCTCCGCATGGCATTCTGGCTGGTAAAGTAATTCAATACCTCCAGAAACCTTTCCTTTCTTATTTTCAAAGCACAGCAACTGTACTGCTGGAGTCAGCAGCGCAATGAGGGGTCCTAAAACCAGCAGGGCGAGGAAGCAAGCGTTACGCTCAGCAGGTGAAAGTTCGTGCTCGAGGACATGCCGTAGAGTGAGCAGAAATGCCAGGATAAGGAGTGGGAAAGTCTTCCAGTATAAGGTACTTGATAGCAAAGCAACAAATATGAGAGCCAGGTTTATAAAGATAGGCATCTCGTCGGTAAATATATTCTGTATGAACGGAGAGGTACGTATCGGTACTGAAGATCGTCAAACAAAAGGTGATAATTTGGCACACTAAGCAACCAGCGCAGCAGTCTAGAGTCTTTATCATGGGCCAACAGGTCGTGCTAGCGGAAGACCAGAGAAAGATTCTGTCAGCATGCAGACCACTACGGTACAAGTATCGCTTCCTGAAAGCCGGATTGGAACTGTGACTCCCGAGTCGCCGCACCTTAAGCAAATACCGAGAAGGTATTGGGCAGGCCCGCACTAGCGCTCATGCAGCTTTCACAAAATGATGACTATATTTGGACTCGTGCTTGCGCATGGCCATTGGGGGCGGAAAAAACAGATCGGCAACATCCTATGGGGTAGTTGGCAGTTGGTTGGTATTTGTGGGAAAAACAAGGCCTGGTTGACCTGAGCAACTTGGAGTAGATGTCAGGTAGATTACACCACAAACAGGAGGAGGATGTTGGGGTAGTGTGAGGTAAGAATCATGAAATTGGGCTTAGTACAGACCATGTCCTATAGGGATTGCTGGAGACTCAGAGTAGCCTTTCAGAATTGCCAATTCCTGTCCCTGGAGGAAAGAAAGTAAACAGCAATGCAACTGGTCTGGATTTCTGACATCTACAAAGCCATATCTCTTTCCACTGCGTCTATGGGTCGATCAACATAATCCCTGCTTTGCCGCTCTATGACCTGCACGAGTACAAAATCTAGAGGCACACCCAACCACAGTGATGCAGAGAAAAACTGTCCCGGTGAGATAAGGCAAGTAACAGCCTTGATTTTGCAAACAAAATCTCTCACTATTATACTTGGCTGTATAACACTTGAGCGCCGCCGTACAAACGAGCATTAGAAGTTACAGAAGGCGCAGGGGCCGAAACGCAACTCTTGGGGGGCGTGAGGGCGACAGCACCCGGGCAGATTCCCACGCAAGGGATACCCCAATAGCCAGCGGGAGCCGTCAAGTGCTAGTTAGTGCGTAAAAGCCCTTGAAATCAACCGTCTCTCGCCTCTCCCAATCACCGTGACTAAGCTTTGCCCAGTAGAGTAGGTGAGGTTAAGCGCAGCAGCGAACTAGTTAACGATTAATGAGGTGTGACGGATCCCGCGATACCTCATTTGGTGGCCGCTGTTCCTTCCAGAACTAGGTCTACGTTGGAGATGAGAGAGGGAATTTGGGGGTGCCGTCCCGCAACTAGAATAAACGGACCATGTGCTATGTCGGGAAGAAGGGCGAGACACACCAAAAAGACCAGCTTTCCTAGACGAATACTCGAGTAAAAAGGGGGGAAACGCCAAACCTTACGAGGAGAGGCAACCCCAATGTCCTACTTGTATGCTTACGAGGAGAGGCAACCCCAATGTCCTACTTGTATGCTTACGAGGAGAGGCAACCCCAATGTCCTACTTGTATGGTCCGGTTATTCGAGTTCATACAGTACGTTACCTCTAAAATGGGTACTGTACGAGTACCAGCTCGGCGGTTGTACCCGTACAAGTATTGCGATTTTGAGACAAAACAAGGATAAAGATCTTATGTGAACATGCAAGTACTGTACTAGTACAGGGGTAGATCATGAATTCATGGTACGAGTACTGTACAGTACCGAACAGGGGTGGTCATCCTCCTCTGTGGAGGTCATTTTAGAACACTAGAAGAGCATGCACTTCAACTCAGGGCCGGGAATGAGCTTTGAGAAAGATTAAAGAAAATAATAATAATCAGAAACTGTTAGTTACGATCATGACATGTTTGTTTTTTCAGTTCAAGCTTTGTTGGGTTCAATAACTCTAATTTAGACGACGTTATGGTATTCATCTTGCAAGCGCTGTACTGCCGTCGAACCTCTGATCCACGCTCTGTACTGTACCATGAGTTCATGATCTACCCTTGTACTACTGCGAGTATAAGTACCGAGGGGGGGGGCTTGTTTCGACGGACTGGGGGATTATTTGCTTTTTGGCTACCTCCCCTACCAACTGGCGCCCGCAGGTTCCTGCCGGTACTCGAGTATCGTACAGTGCCGGCACCCGATTGCGGGGTTCAGGGAAGGTTTCGGGGATGCTCCAGTAACCATGGGCCATCAGGCTCTTCGGGGATTAGTAACTGTTACTTACCCCTACCAAGAAATCTCGCTGGGTCAAAGTTATGTCTGATTCCCCTTATTTGTACTGTACCGTACTAGTACAGTTCTCGAGTAATCAACCCTGAATTATCACACGTCCTGGTTCACATCACACTGCCCGGAGCAACTGCCGAGAACCATAAAAAGTGATAGTGATAAAAAGATAGATAGGAGTGGTCTAGGGCCTTGTTTGGATACAACGATTCCATTGAGCTTTGCGACCACTTCTGTTGTAAAAACAATGGTCAGGCTGAAGGGAACAGGCACTTGTTCACTTGGCATGGAGGCGACGGAAGGGAATCGTTGCATGCAAATAGAGCCCGAGAGCTTTACCTATAAGATATGCGGAATCAGCCTTCTTCTTCCTATCTTGGGGTTGGAAACAAGTTTGAAACAAGAATTGGTTACTACATTGCACAGTTTTCTGCCAAATTGTCAGATAGGAGATGGTTTCACTGAGCCTTTCCTTTATTATCTTAGAAAAATATCTGTTGACACTACACCACCCTATCTGATTAGTATGATACTGTCAAGGAACCTCCTTGAAATTCTCAAGATATTTAGACATAGGTCACAGAGAGAATAGCATCTCGCGATACTTTGTAATTATAATGGGAACATTATATGAGAAGATAGGTTCAAAATAATAACAATATTGGAGTATTTTTCAGTAGAAAAACATAAAAGTAATTTAATAGCAGAATCAAAGTAACAAAGTATTAAAACTTACTATTATTTAGCAAGAAGCTCTACTTAATAGGTTTCTGATAATTAGAAGTACTTACTTGTTATAGTAGAAAAAAAGTTACTTATATATTGATAGGATCTATTTATTTTCAAATTTTTTCTATTATTACTATTACTATATAAATACTTAAACCTCAAAAACTATTAGAGCTTTTGTATAAATTGGATTAAATATTCTCTAAAGTGATACTAACTACATGGTAGTCTTCTAACTTTCTTAATATATTAGACTTTAGTAGTGATATTTTTAACTTAATTATGAGAGCAGAAACTTTTTCTATGATAGATAATATGATAGTACTAGTGTTAGACAGAGACAATCTGTATAAACCAGAATCATCTAGGCTAATTGAGATTCGTTTTGTAGACGGAGATTTGTCTAGGAAGGCTTACAGAGTTACTCATTTCATTTATGACTACTAAGAATGTAAAAAAGTAGAATTGAATCTTAAAAACAATATTATATTGTTACAGTCTCTTCTCCATTACTTGATAATTCCTCATGAGCTCTGAAGGTCATACTAGCTAAACTAGTATATGGTATCAAAAGGTTCAAGAGGCGCTTTGATATTTATATTCCATGACTGAGTATTTGTGGACTACATCTATTTCTCATACAAATTATATACTTCTTTAACTAGAACTTGCAATGTCAGGTCTTCTTCTGAAGCGAAGTGTGAATAGGAGATCCTGAAAACCATCACACCCTCTTCAGTAAATACTATTTTGTCAATTGGGAACTATACTGCTTCTAGTAGTAATTATCTGAGCTTCGGAGTTTTTAGAGTAATGGCCTAGTTCTCAAGTCGAACTGAGTTGGCCCTAACAGTCCCCTTATTGATGAAATGATCAGTTTCATCTGCAGGTCATATCTAGAGGAGTAGTCATAAATACAACCTTCTTAGATTGCTGACTTCAAACCTCCATAACTCCTGATTTAACTGACAGATATTTTCTGAATAACTTCCTACTAATTCACAAAAGGCTATTCTACTGGATTAGTAGATAATTCCTTGGTTGACAACTCTGAGTTGTTCTAGGTAATAGGTTTTAGTTGCTGTTCAGTATTGGGGATAATTCTTGCAATCACGATACATTCCTGAACCTAGTTGTAACACTCTGTAAAGTTTATTAGCTTTTATGGTAGTATCCTTCAGAGTTCTATACTCTTCTAATTATCGTAGGGTGGATGAGAATATGTTGGCTCTTCACAAAAATCCTTTACCATTTAAACAACATTTTTTGTGTGAAAACATCCAATTACTTACAGCTTATGCCAATGATGTTCCATCTTTGAAGTCTAGTAACTCTCTGAATAGTTAATGAATTTATTCTGTTTCTCTTCCCAGACCTAACTCAAGGTTCCCTGTAAACAGAATCCAGTTGAAAGGATGGCAGTGACATATATAGTGTTATTCTAATACCTTCAATTTTGTGGCATTATAGTTACACGATGTAACTAAGATTGATATGTATAATGACATGCAGACCCCGTAAGGGGGTCAGAGGTGGGTGTTGAAGACTAGATATTCTGATTCTGAGTGGGGTTACCCTACTTAGGATGGTTCTTAGGTATCAGATCCCAATACTTAGCAAATATTCTAAGTAAGATGACTCTACTTAGAATCAAAATCTCTGTTCTTCAAAACCCTCCTGCAGCCCCCTTACAGGCCCACACATTATTATACATATCTATCTCAGTTGTATCTTGAGACTATAATGCCACAGAATTTAAGATGTAAAAATAATACTGTATATGTCACTGCTCTCCATCCGATAAGATTCTGTTTGCTGGATATATGAGAGGGAATCTTTGGCCAAGTCTGGA